ATTCGTCCCATTTGTTGATTCTTGGTTTTAATTCTTGTGCTATAGGTACCTTAATAAGGAAATTGGGGCATAACCCCACGTGATGAAAATTAGGGCCAACTTTTTCTTCTATTAGACGCAGAGTCTCTGGTTTGATTCCTAGATCATTGATCCAGTTTGAGTTAACTTTTGTGCATGGTGAGAGATAGGGATTCAATTTCATTTTGTTGCATATGGATTTACAGTTTTCCCAGCACCATTTGTTGAGGATGCTATTCTTTCTCCATTGCATGCTTTTAGCACCTTTGTCTACTATAAGGTAGTTGTAATTTTGTGGGTTAGTCTCTGTATCCTCTATTCTGTACCATTGATCTACCAGCCTGTTTTGGTGCCAGTACCATGCTGTTTTTGTTACTATTGCTCTGTAGTATAGTTTAAGATCTGGCATAGCAATACCACCTGTTTCACTCTTCCTGCTTAGAATTGCTTTAGCTATTCTGGGTCTCTTATTTTTCCAGATGAATTTCATAATTGCTTTTTCTAATTCTGTGAGAAATGCCATTGGGATTTTGATCGGAATCGCATTGAATCTGTAAAGGGCTTTTGGTAATATGGCCATTTAAACAATATTAATCCTGCCTATCCATGAGCAAGGTATATCTTTCTTCTAAGGTCTTCTTCTATTTCTCTCTTTAGGGTTCTATAGTTTTCATTGTATAGATCTTTCACCTCTTTTGTTAAGTTGATTCCCAAGTTTTTTTTTTTGTTGTTGTTGTTGTTTTTGAGGATATTGTGAATGGGGTAGTTTTCCTCATTTCCATTTCAGAGGATTTGTCACTGATATACAGGAATGCCTTTGATTTGTGGGTGTTGATTTATATCCTGCCACTTTGCTGAATTCATTTACTAGTTCTAGAAGTTTCTTGGTAGAGCCTTTTGGGTCTTCTAGGTATAGAATCATATCATCAGCACAGAGTGCTAGTTTAAGTTCTTCTTTTCCTATAGTTATTCCTTTAATTTCTTTCATCTAATTGCTCCTGCCAGTGCTTCAAGAAGTGGTGAGAGAGGGCATCCCTGTCTTGTTCCAGATTTAAGAGGGAATGCCTTCAGGTTTTCTCTGTTTACAATGTTGTTGGTCTGAGGCTTAGCGTAGATAGCTTTTACAATGTTGAGGTAAGTTCCTGTTATCCCTAGTTTTTCTAGAGTTTTGAACATAAAGGGGTGCTGTATTTTGTCGAATGTTTTTTCTGCATCTATCAAGATGATCATATGGTTCTTATCTTTAAGTCTATTGATGTGGTGAATTACATTTATTGATTTCTGTATGTTGAACCAACTTTGTATTCCGGGGATGAATCCCCCTTGATCATGGTACACGATCATTTTGAAATATTTTTGTATCTGATTTGCCAGAATTTTATTGAAGATTTTTGCATCTATATTCATTAAAGATGTTGGTCTGAAGTTTTCTTTCTTTGATGTGTCTTTGTCTGGTTTTAGAATCAGGGTGATATTGGCCTCATCAAATGAATTTGGAAGTACTCCCTCTTTTTCTATTTCCTGAAATAGATTGAAGAGTATTGGTATTAGTTCTTCTTTAAAGGTCTTGTAAAACTATGCTGTATATCCATCCGGTCCTGGGCTTTTCTTGGTTGGTAATCTTTGGATGGCTTCTTCTATTTCCTCACTTGATATTGGTCTGTTTGAGTTATGTATATCTTCCTGACTCAATCTGGGCAGATCTCATATGACGCATATGACTTAAGGAATTTATTGACGCCTTCACTATCTTCTATTTTATTGGAGTATGAGGTTTCTAAATAATTTCTAATTATCTTCTGTATTTCTGTAGTGTATTTTTTAGGTGTAGATGGACACAACACAATGCCTTTGTTATTATTATCATTTTTTTATGTGTTGCTGAGGATCGAACCTGGGTCCCAAACATGCTAGGCGAGCGCTCCACCGCTGAGCCACAATCCCAGTCCCCACAGCTTACTTTTTAAACATGTCTTCTAAGGACAGAAGTTTTTAGTTTTGATAAATTCTTGTTTTTAACTTTTCATCTTTTTATTGTAGTGTTGTTTTTTTTCTAAGTAATCTTTGCCTGCTCTAAGAGATTAAAATACTCTAATAAAGATACTTTTCTAAAAAGTTTTTTTTTTTTTTTTTAGTTTTGTCTCTTATAAGTGTGTGAACCTCAATTTAATATTGAGGTTTAAATGAGCAAAGGGAATCCAAGTTCATTTTTCCTTCATATGAATAGTCAGTTATTCCAGCACCATTTTCTTAAAAAACAAAACAAAACTTCAATTACATTAGTGTACAAATCAATGATTAAGTAGCCACTTATATGTACATCTGTTTCTGGACTTTGCTCTTTTCCATTGATCTATTTCTGTTCTTACTATCTTATTACTGTGACTTTATGGTGTTGAAATCAGAATGTAATTTCTCCAACTTTGTCTTCTTTTTCAAGATGGTGTTGTCGGGCTGGGGATGTGGCTCAAGCGGTAGCGTGCTCGCCTGGCATGCGTGCGGCCCGGGTTCGATCCTCAGCACCACATACAAACAAAGATGTTGTGTCCGCCGAAAACTAAAAAATAAATATTAAAATTCTCTCTCTCTCTCTCTCTCTCTTAAAAAAGATGGTGTTGTCCATGCTAGGTAGTTGCATTTCCACATAAGTTTCTACCAAAATAAAAAGGCCTGGTATGATTTTGACTAGAATGGTTATAACATTCTGTGGAGAATATACATCTTAATTTATGAATCTGATGTCTTTTTCTGTTTATTTAAGTTTCTTAAAATAAGTTTTTTTAGTTGCAGATGGGTACAATACCTTTATTTTATTCATTTATTTTTATGTGGTACTAAGAATTGAACCCAGTGCCTCATACATGCTGGACAAGCACTCTACCACTGAGCCACAATCACATCCCTTATTTAAGTCTTAATATTTTTCTTAGCAGTATAATTTTTAATTAGAAGTCTTAACATTTTAAATTTTATTTCTAGATATTTTGTGTTTGGTGCTATTGTGAATTTTTTTTCAATTTTATTTTCTGGTTATTCTTCCCCAAATACCTGAAGGTAGTCTTTTTGTTTTGCAGTAGTGGAGGTTGAACCCAGCATGCTCTACCACTGAGTTATAGCCTCAGCTCTTTTTATTTTGAGACATGGTCTCCCTAAGTTGTCCAGGCTGGCCTTGAATTTGTGATATTCCTGCCTTGGCATTGAAAGTCTCTGGGATCATAGGCATGCCTGGCTGTGAAAACAGTTCTTTGTGAGACTGCTCCATACTTTGCTCAGTATTTCTGCACCCATCCTCTAATAATCATAGTGCTGTCCAGTTACTATGACAGTGGAAACTCCAAAGACACTTCCAAATGTTCCCTGATAGAGGGTGGGAGGGCTGTTGTCAACTTTGTGAAAAAAATGGCCTTTTGCAGTAGAGGGCCATGGTAACCTTAAAGTCTGAGTGAACACTGAGATTTTCTACCATTTTTAGGGTACATTATAATTCTGGATTTCCAGATTTGCTCAGGGCATTTTATGACTATATATAGCCTAACTACTTTTAGAGAATCTGTTATTTAAAGCACTATTCCAGAAAAGATGAAAATATATGAATTTATAGCTAACGTTGTATGGCAAAAAAGGATCTTGGTAAAAGGGTATCTTTGTGGGGGGCAGCTTTTTTAATGAGACTGTTCCTTCAAAATTAAAATGAAACAGGCAACATTGTGAGATATGAGATATTGTCTTTATTTTCACTAAAAGGACCTATTTTTTTTCCCCCGAGTTAGATGCTATAATTTTTGCTTTCTAACCAGCTTGTTGGCATCAGTTCATAATTTCATGCCTTGGAATTTTTGTATATTTCTATATTAATTAAGATATCGTGGGTGGTCTAACAAATGACTAATGACTGTCCTTACTATCTTTCCTTTAGGTTCTAATCTAAAAATATATATATATTTTTAGTTGTAGATGGACACAATACCTTTATTTTATTTATTTTTATGTAGTGCTGAGGATTGAATCCAGTGCCTCACATGTGCTAGTCAAGCACTCTACCACTAAGCTAAAACCCAAACCTAGGCTCTAATTGGGTGTTCTAAATCATTTGTGTTAGAAAGATAGCTTTCTGAGCTGGGCATGGTAGTTTGTATCCAGAATCTTAGCTCTTCTTGAGGTTGAGACGGGGAACATGAGTTCAAGACCAGCTTGGGCAATGTAGTGAGACCCTGTTTCAAAAAAAAAAGAAGAAGAAAGCATTGTGTTTATGGTAGTCACTGTGTTGAAATAGTTTAGTACCTTGGGATTAATATTTGACCATTTCTTGATTTTGAAGGCACAGCAGCAACGCCATGAAAGAGATTTGGCCCTTTTGAAACTGAAGGCTGAACAAGAAGCTCTGGAATGTCAGAGACAATTAGAAGAAACTCGAAACAAAGCAGCTCAGGTAATTTATTTTACAGTAGGTTTTCTAAACCTAAATTTGTATCTTAGAAATTACTGTAGTTTTTTAAATTACATAGGAATAAAAAAGAAAGGATATAAACAAGAATGTTTAAATTCTTTGTATGGGATTTGTAGCAACCCTCTGAAATAAATAGGCAAGATTTAATCCCAATTTAGAAAAGTGGCAACTGTGGTATGTTATAATTATTTGTCCAGGCACATCAACTCTGAATGATAAAGTAAATACTTTAAGTATGAAATCCAGCATATAATCAAGTGTTTTTTCACAAGGCACTTGATTTATGAAACAGATATAGATTAAAACTTAATTTGGGGCAAAGGTTGTAGTTCAGTGGTAGAGTGCCTGCCTAGCACATGTGAAGCCCTTAGCATAAAATACAGGTATTGTATCCATTTACAATTGAAAAGATTAAAAATAAAAACTTAATTTGGGTGGAAGGGATAGTGAAACCTAACTTCTTTTCTTGCCCCCTTTTATTTGTAGGTCCATGCAGAATCATTACAGCAGGTGGTTAAATCACAAAGGGAAGTAACCGAAGTCCTTCAGGAAGCAACTTGTAAAATAGCAGCTCAACAAACAGAGACTGCTCGCCTAACTACAGATGCAGCTCGCCAGATCTGTGAGGTAAGACCCTCTGGAGAGTGATTTTCCTTTTTAGTTTTTAGTCAGTCGAATAACTTTGATCTTATCATTAATAAGCTCCTAACATCTAACAACAGCATAATTTGAATCAGTGACACTTATTGGGGTCCCTTTTGATAAAAGAATTTTAAAATTCTTATTAGAATATGTTGTGCATATGAATGTTAGGGAATCAGAAAAAAGATGGAGATGAATTCTAAATTTCTGCCCTCTGATTAGCTTTCTAAAAAGATATTAACTTTATTGATGTATAACTTAAAAAGAATGCAGTACATACTTTTAAAGTATATAATAGGGCTGGGGATGTGGCTCAAGCGGTAAGCGTGCTCACCTGGCATGCGTGCGGCCCGGGTTCGATCCTCAGCACCACATACAAACAAAGATGTTGTGTCCGCTGAAAACTAAAAAAAAAATAAATATTAAAAAAACAAATAAATAAAATAAAATAAAGTACATAATATATAATTCCTTATAAATACCACCATAATCAATAGTAGAATATTTCTATCAGTTCCAACATGCCTCTTTGCAGTTAGTACTCAATCTTGGCCTCAGGGAACCACTGTCTGCTTCATATGGTGATGTTTCATTTTTTTCATTTTTTTATCCAGAAGAATATTAGTCCATGTGTTTTTTTTTTTAATTGTACCAAGGGTAAAGCCAGAAATAATTTCATTGCTTTCTCTATAAAATAAATTATCTCCTGACATTTTATTTTAGCAATTATAATTTATTTAAGGAAAAGTTAGGACTATTAGTAAAATGACTAAGTTATTAAAAATTCATGAACCTACTATATTTTTGGGTACCATAGGGTTGTACAAATAAATATAAAATTGAGTCTCCTTTCTCGAGAAAATTGTAACATAGTAGAAAACATAACAAAAGATTTCAAAAATACTTTTAAATCATCAGTAGGAGAAATAGCTCAAAGCAGTAATAAGATAAATGCCAAATGAATAATATATGCAGCAATTGGAATAGTGGTGAAGAGTAGGGCAAAAGTACTTCATATTGTTAGTAGGGAAAGCCCTATAAAGGAAGTAATTGAATTGATTCTTAAAAAGATTTATTACTGCTTATTATATGACTTGAAGGTGTTCTCTCTAATTTGTAGATTATTATAGCTTAGAAATTATGTAGTTAACCTCTTTGTTTTATAAGATGAGCCTGTTGGGATTTAAAGAGGCTAAATATTTCACGTATTAGTAGCAGAATTTGCTTGTTTTCTATCAAGTTATCCTTTCCAAGACACTGCTCCCTCTCAGTTCTTCTGTGATATCTTTTACATCTGTGTTTGCTTTTGTTGTGTGTTCATATTTAGATGGCAGAATTGACTCGAACTCATATCTCAGATGCCATCACTGCTTCAGGAGCTCCTCTTCCAACGCTGTATGATCACCAGCAGCAACACCTTCCAGACTTCATGAAACAATTGAGGACCAGAGCTGAAACAGATAGGTTAGTATTCATTCATTCATTCATCAGACACTCATCTCCAGTGAGTATCTCTGTGTCCAAGGCACTAGGAATTTAGTTATGGGCATAAAATCTAGTAGGGAATATAAATACTCAGTTGAACGAATAAATACTTAAAATACTGGACATGAGTGTCATGAAAGAAAGGAACTCCATATCTCAGGAGACGGGGGTATAAGGAGGTTAGAAAAGGCATTCATGAGAAACTCAAGCTTGTGGTAACATCTAGTGGATGGGAAGTTAGTGATAAGACGAAGGTAAAGAATAGGCAGTTATAAAGCTCTGAGGGAAGAAAGAACATGACATGTTTAAGGAAATGAATAGAAGACCAGTGTGACTAGAGGAAGCGAACAAAGAGGAGACAATGCATTTTGATAGGATCTTACAGATTTCAAGACTTTTGTGTTTGTTCTAGAAACAATGAAAAATCAAAGTTTTTTTTTTAGATGAGCTGGATGACAAGATCATATATTTATGTATGTTATTTTTTAAAATCATCCTTTGATTTTCTCCAATTTATAGATTTTTAGCCTCTATTTGCATTCATTGATATTAGGACTGTTGTGGGTTTGTTTCCCTTAATTAAGCAGAAGGTATCTTTTATGTACTATATGTCCTTTTTTATTATTAAATGCCTTTTTCCCCCTCAAATATTTTGTAACAGTTACTTCATAATATCTATGCATTCAAGATTTTATCTCATTTACTGTTAAACAGTCTTCAAAATCTTTCTCTTATTGGAGACTGGATGTTGAATCTGTTTTTATTTTCTTTGTAGGATAAGTCAATCTTTTTCACTCTCTCAGAGTAAAGAAGAGACCCTTGACACAAAGCATCAAAAGTATTCCCCTTCATTCGATACTTACTCTGAGTCTTCAAGATACAAGAATCATGATCAAAGGTGAAGACAGTTTTGGTTTTTTTTTATTGATTCAGTTTGGCAAACTCTAACAAAGGGCTTAAACATTGCTTTTCCTTGACTTCTTATTTCTGTAAATGGAACAATGGCTGCCTCTTTAATTAGGTAACTTACAAATAGTCCATCCATGTAATACAGCTACTACTCCTTGAGAGTCTAGTTGCATAAGCATTGTATATGTTGTTTTTCTTACCTTTAATCTTCACAGCATCTTTCCAAGTCAGCTAATGTTGTCTTCATAGATTAGGGAACTGAGGCCCATGGAAATGTTAAGCATTTCCCCCAGATTCACATAGTAGTGACACACCAAGACATTGAAATTGACTTATCAGCCTCCAAAGCCTATGTTTATTGCACATTTCCTTATTGGCGTTCATATTTCTTTTCTTTCTTTTTTTTTTTTGGTTCTTGGAATTGAACCCAAGGTTGCTCTACCACTGAGCCATATCCCTACCTCTTTTGATTTTTTTTATTTTGAGCCAGGATCTCGCTGAATTGCTTAGAGCCTTGCTATGTTGCTGAGGTTGGCTTTGAACTTGTGATCCTCCTGCCTCAGTCTCCCAAGTTGCTGGGATTACAGGTGTGCACCACTGCACCTGGCCCATATTTCTTAACATTAGCATATGTACTAATTATAATCATTATAAAAATATTAAATAGGTTTTTCTTTGGTAGTTAGCACAGTATTAATGTCTCTAGTTTTCATTTATGATTCTATCCTTGAATGAGGTTTTAAAGTTTTAAAGGTTTAAAGTTTTAAAGCATTCCTTATTAGATAGGATATTGTCATTGTCAAGTACAATAAAGCCTCAATTTAAAAAATTTAGTCAAAAACATGCACCTGTAATCCCAGCAACTCAAGAGATTGAGGCAGGAGGTTCATAAGTTTGAGGCCATCCTTAGCAACTTAGTGAGACTCTTTCTTGAAATAAAAAAAAAAAAAGGGGATGGGAATGTGGCTCAGTGATGAAGTGTCCCTGGGTTCAATCCCCAGTTTAAAAGCAATGTTTAAACCATCTCCCCCTGCAAATTTTAAAGTATAAGACTAAAAAATGTGAAAGTTAGTGTGGGATGAGTACCAATAGATATTGAGTACCTATTATGTGTGTGAAACTACATGACATTCATTTAATCTTTATTAACAGTTACCTTCACTGATATTTACCTAGTTTAAACCACTGAATTACTGCGGTAGAATAGGTCTCCTCATCCTCTCATCTTTACCCACTGTATTCATTGGCCACATGGTGAGCAGGGTGATTTTTATAAAATTTGCAGCCAACTTAGTCATTCACTTATTTGAATCCTCTCAGACCATTCAAGGTAAAGTTCAAATTATTTGGCATACCATAAAAGTTCCTTCATAGTTGATCCTTGCCAGGTGCAGTGGCCCATGTCTGTAATCCCAGCTGCTTGGGAGACTGATACAGGAGGATCACAAGTCTGAAGCTCACTCAGCAACTCAGCAAGGCCCTGAGCAATTTAGCACACCCTTTCAATGTTTTCTTTTGCTAGAGTATTTTAAAGCAAATCTTAGATCATAGCTTTTGACCAATTAATACTTCAGTGCATATGTCTAAGAAATAAGGACCTAAAAAACTCTAATGCCATTATTGTTGCTGAAAATTTGATCCTTGTGCCCAATACCAATCCAACAATGAGGACATGGTTTTGAGAAAAAGGAAAAAAGAAGGTTTATTGCTTTGCTAGAAAAGGAGAAATACAGGGGATACCTGTTCCAAAGGCTGTGATTCTTGCATTGTATCTTTTTATAGCTTTATTAGATTTACCCTTTGGGAAACATTTATTAAGCCATATTGTCATTTAAATACACATTAAAAATATGAACACAGGAATAGAAATGATGAAACCTTCCTGGAAAAATGGGAAGGAGTCCTTGAGAACTTCACAGAAATAATACTTGAAATGAATCTTAAATTAGTGAACAGACAGAGAAGGACAGGCATTTCAGAGATATTTTCTATTTCAGAAATAGCATTTGGAGAGGCTCTTAAAAGCTGAATCAGGATAGGCTTCTAATACCCGCCCCCTTTTTAAATCAGTGAATAATTAAGAAAAATAAGAAGGGAAACATTTGTCAGAATACTGCACAGGTTTCATTTGTTGGCTGAAGGATAGTCAAAATCAGAAGTCTGGTATGCATTTGGATACTTGAGGCAATGTTGAGGGAAGGAAATCGCTGCTAATACAGAGTTGAGGTTTAGTCTGAGTGATAATAGTTGAAGTTACAGGCATGCCATTTGATTGCTCAAGGAAAATGTTATGTAACATAAAAGAGAAAGGAACCAAAATAAAATTCTAGGGAATACCATCATTTTAAAGAAAGATAAAAATTAAAAACAAGTGGCAAACCACAGGAAAACTTCTTAGGGAGGTGGGAAGATAAGTGAGAATAGAACCCTGGAATATAAGAAAGAAGAATTCTTATCAAACAATTTTAACATGTCAGACTTTCAGAAAAGTTTGAAAAATAATGCAGTCTTAAAATAGCTTTCATCCAGATTATCCTAAAGTAGACTTTTTTCTATAGTTTCTTTAGCAAATAGAGCTTTTAAAGAAAGATAGAGATCAACAACATCTAATGTTACAAAGAAAAAAAATTATTTGATTTTACAGTTAGAAGTTTAGATAGTTTAAAAAAGAATAGTTCCAGTGTAGCAATTGGGAGAGCATCAGATTGTAAGAGATCATGATGTAATGAAAGGAAATAGAAATAGTGAGTAGAAGCCTCCTTTTCCCAGAACTTTGACTTTGAAAGTAAAGGAAAAAGGGAGCAATAATATAAGAATAGTGGTTGCCTGTTGTGATTATTTCAAAGTGAGACATCCTCTCTCATCTTTTCCAAAATAGTGTATTCTCAGACTTATATCTACTTAGTTTTTGTTTTTATATTACATGTTTCTTCATTGCATAATGTGGTTATAAGGCACAGTCCTTTGGTCAGATAAGTTTTCTTTGAAGTTATGATCCTTATTTGTTTTTTTTGTTTGTTTGTTTCTGTTAACATCCATAAACAGAAGTAGTAGCAGTAGCAGCCGTCAAGAAAGTCCTTCAGTTCTGTCTTTTAAAGAAAATGAGAAGAAACTTTGTGGTGAAAATATGGAGAGTTCAATTGATGAACAGGTTCAGACTGCTGCAAATGATTCTTTACGAAGTGATAGTGTTCCATCTCTTCCTGATGAGAAAGGTAACTTTCTTTGCACATGAATGCATAATTGTTTGCATTGAAACTGGAAGAAAGGTAATTTTTTTTAAAAAAGTGGCAAATGACTTGAATGAATTGTGTCCTAGTGTTTAAGGAAAGTAGAAGTCAAAAATGATGGAGGATATTTAACTAAGACATTTCTAAGGTGTGGAGTAGTTTCTCTTTGCTACTTACAGTAAATTGAAGGAATTGTTAAGCAAAAAAGAACCAGAAATTAAGATTTAGAAAATTCTAAGCCTATCCATAAATAAAAAAAAAAAAAAAGAGAGAGAGAGAAAGCATGTTTTGGTATGGCTGGGCAGTCACTCCACAAAAGATTGCTCATGAGTTTGATTAGCCATCTCAGCAGAATCCAGAAATACAGATGGGATGTTACCTGCAGGGACATTGCCAGTTTGGACTGAAGTAGACAATATGAAACAAAGGAGGGCATTCAGATTAGCCAGTCTTCTCTGGAAGAAGTACCCTCAAAGACACACACAGAATGTTTTTACCAATTTTTTAACATCTCAATCCGGTTAGGTTGACAACCAAATGTAACCATTGCTGGGGAAAAAGAGGTGGTCTAAGTAACTTTGGAAATGGTGTTATGATTAAAAACAGTTAAGTCTAATCCAAAAGTAATAGTACATAAACCCATATTCTAGTTGGTAAACTTGTTTTTTGCAGAGATATAGGTTAATAGTTCTGTGTGTGTGTGTGTGTGTGTGTGTGTGTATGGTGCTGGGGATTGAACCCAGGTCCTTGTGAATGTGAGGCAAGCACTCTACCAACTGAGCTGTTTCCCCAGCCCAATTAATAGTTCTTTAACTGTGTGTTGGTGTTGAACAAATAAGTAAGTGAAGATTGGATGGTGGGAGCCAGGTTTCTCAGTGTTAAAAAGGGAAGTTACAGGTAATATAAGAAAAGGAAGACAATCGTGAACTCTTTGGTACTGAATTTGAGTCAGAGACATCAGTATGAATTTTTGTTTACCTTGTTGGATGGATGGATAGAAAAAGCAATTGCGCCTGTGTGTGCACACATATGCAGGTGAGTATATATGCATTATATTACGTCTCTAAGCCTGGAATTCTAAGAAGATAGTTTGTCATTTTTGCCAGTAATATTAAACTTTTTTTTTTTTAACATCATTTTGAGTGTTTACATTTCCTTTGTGGAACGTCTCATCATGGACCTTTTCTCGTTTTTCTAAAAGTGTATTAGTAGTTTTCTAATTGATTTGTAAGAACTCTTTAATGAAGGAATTTTTTTTTCCTAGCGTTTCTAGGTTTTTACGAGTTTTTTTTCACGTTTGTAAGGTAATTGAATTTTATTATTCTATGTCTGTTAAGTTGCTATGAATTTATGTTGGATTGTGCCAGAAAGAGGCAAACAGGCTAAGTTTAAATACCTCCTGAGAGCAGTTACAATGATAAAATCTGCTTTCTTCCTAATTTTTTAGATTCAACTTCTGTTGCAACAGAATATTCTCTGAAATTTGATGAATCCATGACGGAAGATGAAATAGAAGAAAAATCTTTTCGATCTTTACTACCTTCTGAGAGTCATCGCAGATTTAACATGGAAAAGAAAAGAGGCCATCATGATGACTCTGATGAAGAAGCTTCCCCAGACAAGACCACACTGTCTTCTGCCAAGGTGTGTTTCAGTTTGCCTATGGAGGTAAATGTCTGTGGATGCATTCTCTTAAAGGTACAAGGATACATTTTATGTTTGAACTCAGTTGTCAACAATCAGAATTCTTTTCCTAAAAATCAGTTTTATGTTTTATTTTCCTTCTAAAAATCTGGCTTCCCTTGCCTTTTAAAGTAGAATATAAACTTATTCATTAAAATAAGATATGGCCTCTAAGGAAATGAGTCAGTATTATTTCTATGGGTTTTTTAATTGCTTTACTCTTCTACTTAGCTCCATTTAAAAATTTACAATCATTCTTCTTTCCAAATCATATCACTTCTGGAAAACAGGAACAAATTCTTACCCTATTTTGTATCCCTGGTACTGTACATGTTGTACAGTAATTATTTATTAAGATTTATTGACTGATTAAATAGCAATGTGTTTTAATCCCTTTTATGTGCCTTTTTGAAGAATGTTTTCTTACATGGTTGGCAGCCTTGTATAATACTTGTGTGTGTGTGTGTGTGTGTTTGTTTGTTTGGTACCAGGGATTGAACCCAAGGTGCTTAACCACTGAGCCATATCCCCAGCCCTTTTTATTTTTTATTTTGAGATAGCATCTCACTAAATTGCTGAGGGCCTTGCTAATGTAAAATACTTTTTATTTATTTATTTGTTTATTTTTGAGATGAGATCCTGCTAAGTTGCTGTGGCTCTAATTGCTGACAAATACCACTACTCCTGGCTTCATAATTTATTTATTCATTTTATTTATACCTTTATTTTATTTATTTTTATGTGGTGCTGAGGATCCAACCCCGTGCCTCACACGTGCCAGTCAAGCAGTTTGCCACTGAGCTACAGCCCCAGCCCCATAATTTATTTTTATGAATGTGTATCTCATATTAATGACGTTAAATATCAAAATGTTTAATAGATAAAAAACTTGAAATAAACTCTCTACTTTAGGAGCTGAGCATGCCATTCTCAGGAGGACAAGATAGCTTTTCTAAATTTACTATGGAGATGGTTCGACAGTATATGAAGGAAGAGGAAATGAGGGCAGCTCACCAATCTTCACTTCTGCGGCTTCGTGAAAAGGCTTTGAAGGAGAAAACCAAAGCTGAATTAGCTTGGCTAGAACATCAGAAAAAGTAAGTTCTTTCAGTAGCATAGTTTTCATTGTTCAGTTACTTCCATAAAAAGTAAATGCTTTATGTTTTAAAATATTTTTGTTTCCTCATTTAATTTTTTTTTTGTGTGTGTGTGCGTCTGGTTATTAAACCCAGGACCTTGTACATGCTAATAAGTACATGCTCTACCACTGAGCTATATCCCTAGCCTCTCCTCATTTAATTTGATATGATTAAATTAACCTAGTTTTTACAATCCAGGAATATGTGGCAATAATCTTTGATTTGTGTTACTTTCAAGACTTCCTTCCTACCCATATAATATTTTGTTTTCATTTATCTTTTACAGTCTAACTGATCCTCATGTTGTTGTCCTATACTTAAGTCCTCTATAGTGTTGCAAATTGTTCAGAGTCCTCATATCTTTAAAAGACTTAGTCTAGGGCTTACATGTATTACATAATCAGTAGAATACTTGCTGAGATATTAACTGCTGCTGCATATAACAACTGTTTTCAACTTTTGAAAATGCTAAGTTTGTGAACTTGTTAGTAACCAAGAATTCTTGAAATTAAAACATGAATTTAATCTAGTCTTTGTCTTAATGAAAAATATTATTTGCAGACATCTACGAGACAAGGGAGAGGATGATAAAATGCCCCCACTCCGGAAAAAACAGCGTGGTTTGCTTTTAAGATTGCAGCAAGAGAAGGTATGTTAGGAAAAATGTCTCTTTAAAAAAATTTATCATAGGGAAATTATGTTTGCCTAATCTCTTTTTCTTATTATCACCTTAAATGGGATTTAGTTGACTCTTGCCCTGGTTATAGAGGTTGCTTGGTAGTTTACCATATTTCTCTTACATTAAAATTGAACACAATCAAATCTGCTGCCTTTCTATAGTATGAATAGAATAATCTTTTGAAATGATTTGAATTTTAAAAATTAAGATATGTATAAGAGTATATTGAGAATAATTTTTGAGTCATCACTTCCCTTCAGAGAGTTTCACGACACATTAATTACATATTGACAAATTTTGACTTAGTGGGATTAGAAAGGCCTTGGTTTTGAATCCTGGAGAGACAGTAAGGTAGTTTGATGATTAAGAATTCAGGGGCTGGGGATTTGGCTCAGGCATTATCGCGCTTGCCTGGAATGTGCGAGGCACTGGATTCGATCCTCAACACCACATTAAAAATAAAGATATTGTGTCCACCTAAAACTAAAAAATAAATATTAAAAAAAAAAATTCAGGCTCTGGAGCTGGGATGTGGCTCAGTGGTAAAATGCCTGTGGGTTCAATTCCCAGTACCTGCACCCCCCCCCCTAAAAAAAGAATTCATGCTCTGAAGTCAGATTACCTAGGCAAGCATTTCAGCTCTACTAATTGTAGGTTTTATAACCTTGAACAAATTACTTAATTTCTGTGTTTCAGTTTCTTCATCTGTAAATTGAGAGCAATAATAGTAATATTCTTTATAGGGACATTAGGGAAGGATAGATGAATTAATGCATAAAATAGATTTAGAGTAGACCTTGACACAATGGTAAATACTCAATGTTAGTTGCAACTATATAATCATGGTCAAGTTTAAGTAGCTCTCTGAGACTTAATTTCCTCATCTGTAGGAGTGGGGATTATACTTTCATATGGTGGTTGTGAGGATTAAATGAGGTAACATATGTAAAGTGTGTTTCACAGTACCTGGTAAGTATTTAATAGATTTTAGTTTTCTTTTCCCTTATTGACCTGTTGTCAGGTGAGATCTACTGTGTTAGATGATTTACAAACTTGTTTATTTGAGTTATATATTAGATTATTACTTAAAATAATTTTTAAAAGTAAAATTAACCACAGGAAACATAACTGATGATGTGAATTTGAAAAAATTCCAAACTTAATTAAAAAAAAAAAAAGAAGTTATGACTTTTTAGTCTAAAACAAAGGTTTGTTTGTTTTAAGGTATGATTTAAAAATATATATATTTATTAGGTGTAGATGGACATAACACAATGCCTTTATTTTTATGTGGTGCTGAGGATCGAACCCGGGTCCTGCCCATGCTAGGTGAGTGCTCTACCGCTGAGCCACAATCCCAGCCCCTAAAACAAAGGTTTTAAAGTAAATAAGATTTGTCTTAGTTAAAATTGGTGACTTACTTTCTACACTGTTGCAATACAATAGCTTTCTGTTTGTAAAGTAGAAGAAAAATACATTTATAAATATGTTCTCTCATTCTGTAGTATTTCTTTTCACTTTAATAGCATCCTTTGAAGCACAAACAAATTAATTTCAATATAATATTGCATGCTTATTGATGGCACATTTTTTTCAGGTTTTGTTAGTTTGAAACTGTATTAGTTTTATCATTTTTTAAAGGATATTTTGTAGAATTATTTCAGCACTTTTAAAGATCACTTTCCAGTGTTTATCGCTTTTCATTGTTTTTGTGGAGAAGTCAGTTGTCTAAGTGTTGCTTTTTGTAGGCTTCTTTTAAGATTTTTAAAAAATTGACTTTGGTTTTTTAATACTTTTACTATAAGGTGTCTAGGTATGGTTTCCTTTGTAATAATCCTATATAGGTTTGCTGAACTTCTCAATCTGTTGGTTGGTGTATTTTATTAGTTTTTAACAAACTACTTCTTTGTATTTTGCTTCTGCCCCCTTCTTTCTATCATTTCCTTCTGGGAGTCCATTTAGACATATGTTAGACCTTTTTGCTATGTACCACATCTCTCTTCTGTTCTCTCTTGTTTTGATTTCATTTTCTTAAAACAAAAAACACTGTGCCTCAATTTGGAAAAAATTTTTTTAAAAAGTTTTTTTTAGTTGTAGATGGACAGATTGCCTTTATTTATTTTTATGTAGTGCTGAGGATTGAACCCAGTGCCTCACATGTGCCAGGCAAGTGCGCTACCACTGAGCCACAACCTTAGCCTTTGGAAAAATTTTTATTGACCTATTGGATTCTCAGTGTGTCTTCTGCTTCAGCTATTAAACTATATTGTTAAATCTACTAAATAGTTAATTTTATTATTTTAGTCCTATAATTCCCATTTTTAAAAAAAAAAAATTCTTTGTTGTAATCTACCTTTCCATCCTTTTTTTTGAATCTTTTCCTATATGTATTTTATTTTCCTTGTCGGCTGTTTTATTTTTTTCTCATTGGCTCCTTTTTCTTTGCATGCCTAGTAATTTTTTGTTGAGTGATGGATGCTATGGATAAATAATTACAAAGACTTCAGCTGATGTTCTCTCACCCTAGAGAAGATTCCTCCTTTCTTTTGCTCTACAGTTAGTTATCAGCTATTTACCTTAACCCAAGCTAAGGACTGCACTGGGTTAAGGTAGGGTTGAAGAGTTGTTAAGCTCCAGTCTACCTCTGCTTTGCCCTGTTGTCCCTGGATTGTGGCCCTCCAGGGATTTCACTCAAAAACTAGGCAAACCTGTTTTTCTCAGCACAAGACACTGTAAGGATTTCTTCTCAGAGGTTTTTGGCTTGGTTCCTTAACTTTCTGTCTGTGCTGCTTCAGAATTTGACAGATGTTCAGAAGAATGTGAGTCTGAGGCCTCTTAAGTCTCCATTTTTGTTACTTCAACTCTGTAGTTGGTAGAATTATTAATTAGTAAAATCTTTTTTTTTTTTTTTTTTAAAGGTATCAGTGTTTGAATTCCGGGCTCTTGGCCACTGTGCCACTTCCCCAGCCCTATTTTGAGATAGGGTCTCACTGAGCTGCTTAGCGCCTCACTGTTACCGAGGCTGGCTTTGAACTCGAAATCCTCCTGCCTCAGCTTCCCAAACTGCTGGGATTACAGGCGTGCACCACCACACCCCCCAGCTAGTGTAGCTATTATAAAGGTTACTTAAGGTTTACTTAAGGACATGTAGAATATATGATTCAGCAGTTCTGCCTTGGTATATATCCTTAAAATATTCTTTAATCCAAGAAGCTTTTCAAATGTACAGGGGAAAACAAACATCATCAGTAAGAGAATACATGAATCAAAGCACATATCTACAAAAAATGTTTAATATTGTAAAAAAATGAATGCATTAGGTATCAGCACTATCCAATAGAGACTTCTATATCTGTACATGCAATATAATAGCTAGTAACCACATGTAGCTAACTAACAGCTATCATTGGACACTCTAGCATTAGATCCTCATTACCAGAATTATAATGTTGTTTTTATAGAAGGGCAGTATCCAAATAATATGTTCAGTATTATACTATTCATGGAAATATATATATATATATATATATATAT